TGTAGAATTAGCAGAACATCACCACCCTACTCTCAACTGAATGGATGTTGTGTATTTATTTAGTAGTATTAGATCACATTCAGGAGGAAACTTGCATGGTCTACTACCCCAGCAGCTCTGAACTGGAAAGGTGCAAACACTCCCATACTCCACAAGAAGAAAAAGGGAGGATAAAATGTGGTGGAGAGTCCGGAGGAATGCCAACACTGGAGGCAGTGCTACAGGTGACCACAAAAACCCTACTTTGAAAAGTAGACCACCCCTGATTTATTCAATCAAAGGGAAGGCAGGGATGGACAGCTATCCCTTCTGTTTTACCAATGTAAGTCCATGGGTTAGTACAGTCTGGAATGGGCATATTAATGAAGCAAATATATTGTGAAGGAAAAACCTACTAGTGTGGAACACCCCATCTCAACAGTGTGTGTTACTGACCATGGGAATATTATATTTTATGAACAGCATCATGGCCATACAGTGTGGATTTGTGATGTATTAAGTATACCTGAAGAGGAAACACTTGCCACAGAGTGGGATCCTGGTGATGAAAAAGGGGCATACCTCTGAAATAAATTTAAGATGTATATAAAAAAGATAACTTACCTAGTCACAGTCTTACCAAATTTGATAGATGGCAATAGAAGGAAGACGATACCTCAATGGGGAAGAAACAGCCACCCAATGCAGAAAGTGGGAGGTGAACATATGAGGAGTAGCCCACATGCCTGCTTGAAGAATTTCCTCTAAAGGATGATGGAGATAAGATGCTAGGGAAAGGTAAGGTGTCTGATCTAATGTGATGACACCTGAAACAGATTTTGGGGAAAAAAAACAAGGAGGAATAAACCAATCGAATCAAAAGCCAAACCCAAGTGGCAAATATTGAAGGAGAATGGTCACAAACAAAGAAATGTTGTCAGGGGATGAAAAGGCGGGAACAAAAACTACAAAATGAAGCCATATGGGCAAGGTAACAATGAATCGCCCGTATGGGACATAGAAGCCTATCCTACTCAGATTTAGAATAAAGGTGGAAAATGGAAGGAATGGAAATTGGTGAGAAGGAAGAATCATCTTCTTAAGCTGCCAAAGTTTTGGGAAGGAAAGATCGATGTGGAATGGTACAGAGAGCAGGAGATGTCAATGGCAAATATATCAGACCTACGATTCCCACAGTCTAATAGGAGATAGAAGTGGGTCTTAAGGGACAAGTGAAACAAAGAACAGGAGGACAAAGGTTCAAATGGAGGTAGAGTAAGGCAGTGAAGAACCACATTGACCTCACAATCTGGCAGGACCACTCGACAAGGAGGCCTATGAATCCAGAAGAAACACAACAAAAGGTAGAACACAGAGGAGGTAAACACAAAATGGTACCAGGAAAAAGTGAAAGATGTGGGATAAGGATGCTCGATATCCAGCAATGGACAAGACTGAAGTTCCATGATCGAATAGCCAAGTGAGCAAATCTGTTAAAAGAAAAATGGTGGGTCAAGAAGGGAAAAAACCCCTACTTGAAGACCAACAGTGGAAGATATTCCATGTATGTTCATAAACTGCCATCGAGGAAGTGAAAATGGAATGAGCTAAAAAGGAAATTATCCACAAAGACAATCTGGATCTCCTTGCCAAGGACCTGATAAATGTCAGGTATGAAGACAAAGGGTAAGAAGGGTAGAAAACCAGTGGTTGAGGTTGACGTAGAAGGGATGGAAGGAGAGGAAGAGGGGCAGTACAGAGTTGAAGTAGTCAAGGAAACCATGGCTATGCCAGTCAGTAAGAGCAATCAGAAGAACCTGACCAGAGTGGCAAGGATGATTGAAATCACAAAGGAAAGAAGATGGATGGGAGTTTAAACATAAAGGGATCAGTTGTTCCAATCGTGGCTGAACACACTGACAGCTAGGGCCTATGGATGAGGAACCAGAGACCATAAAAGGGGTAATGTGGAATTGTGGAAAGTGGCAAGTGCATTCAGCTGAGAACTACCCCACTGTGAGCATAGCCACTGGAAAACCTAAGGATCAAGGGACCACTCCATGGGAGAAATGTTGTCCAGTCTGAAAGATGATCCACCACAAGCATCTGGAACATGACATGCCTGGAGACTTATTCCAAGCATGTGGACCCAACAGATTAGATCTAAAGTTCGACTGCAAAGGGAAGGAGAAAGGGTGCGACCTGGGTGGTTGATATAAGCTACCACTGTAGAATTGTCAGAATAGATAGTGACAAGTCAATTCCTGATTATAGGAAGAAGCATTTGTGAACAGATTCAAATCCAGACAAGGTGGAGGAAGCAGTATACCTGCCATTGTGTTGTCTTTGTTCAACCACCAATGCAGATCATCTAAAAAGGAAAGGAACAATCGGGAGACTAAAGGATCCTGAGCAAGATCACCTTGGTTGTGCAGTTTACTAAAGAGACTGCATACCTGCCTGGCCCAAGGGGATAAGTGCTTCCATGGTAGCCCACATTCCTAAAAGCAATAGAATTTCGTGAGCAGCAAGGGGGGAGCAGCATGGGCATGGAGAACTGGAAGCTCCATGAAATAGAGTCAAAGAGAAAAAGGTTGGGCCTGACCAATGGTTGGAGTTGAAAAAGATCTCCAAATGGACAAGATATTGGGTAGGGGACAGGAAAGACTTCTCCAACTTAATAATCCAACTCACTTGAGCAACTTCAGATAGAAGGAGAGGAGTGTGATATGAAGATTCCATTTCTGAATGAGTTAAAAGAAACCGAATGTCCATGTAGTGATGTAACCACAACCCCCAAGCATGCAAAAGTGGGGCAAAATTTTGACAACCTGATGAAAAATGTATTGAGCCAAGCAAGCCGAAAGCAAGGTGCGAAACTGGTGCACAACCCTATGATGGACAAACCAAAAACAGCATCTGCAATGAGTAGAAATAGGAATTTGTAAATAGGCATTCGTGGTGTCTTTCATGTTCAGTTACAACCCCACGGAGAGAAAACTCTACCTTAATTGTGAGAAAGGATTCCATCGTAAAACGAGGAAGATCCAGAACTTGATTGAGGCAGGACAGGTTGATCACAGAATGCCAGTCCCCAGTTTTCTTGAGTACCACAAACAGACTGGAGTAAAAGCCTGGGGAAAGATGGCTGACAGGCTTGATAGCTCTCTATGATACAAGAGTCTGTACTGCCACTGACAGATGCTGACTGGTAGGAGTAGCATGCGGTAATGGAAAGGATATGGGTACAGGAGACAACAGGGTGGGGGAAAGGAATTGGATGACAAGTCCCTCTGACAAAACCTGAAGAATCCAATGATCTATAGTGAATTCCTGCCAGAAGGAAACAAAATTGGTCAAGTGAGACCCCACTGGACTGGAACCCACAGTATGGTCACAATGGGAGGAACAGTTAAAGGGTTGGAGGGTGTTGGACATGGAACAGAGGATTGTAAGGGCCCATGATGAGACAATCGGGCAACCAAAGACGAAAGAGTCAAATGTTGTCTTACACATTCCACAAGCGATTCCAAATTCTCAGGAATATCCCAAAAAACAGACCCCTGGAGAAAAGGAGCCATCCACAAATCAGAAAGGTAAGTAAATGGTAAACAAGCTTGAGTCAACACAGCATCCCTCCTCAGAAAATCCCAACAGCAAAAAAAACCCTGTACAAAGAGATAGAGCCAAGGACAATCATGCCAATGTAGAGGTAAGGAGGGAGAAGATATCCTCAAGATCCCTCAAGAGATCAGTGGAATGCCTCAGAAAGAAGGTGCATGATGGACAAATATAGCAGGAGAGTCGTATGGGTAAGAGAAAGGTGGGAAAACTGGACCTAGGATAAATAGACAGGATTGTCAGGGTCAGAGAATGAAGAAAGGGGTAATCTGATTGACTGTAAGCCAAGGCAAACTGATCATTGGCCCTTGGAGGGTGAGACATGCTAACACCAGTTCAAAATTGAGAAACAAAATTCTCAGCATGAACCCCGATATCAGGAGAAGGAGGGAAAACAAAATAATATGAGGAAGGTGTGTTATGTAATAAGGAAGGAACAGGATTATAAGAAACTGGGGAAAAGGTCAAATTAGAACAAACATGGCCGAATTGAGGCTGAAAATTCCTCACTTGAGTTTCCCCGACCTGATGCCCATGTAACTGTGCTAATAGCAGGTTGTAGAATATCTGAAGTGGCAATATTGACTTTGGTATTCATCATAAAGTGATGAAAATTTGAAAATAATTCCAATAAAGAAAGAAGAATAACTGAAAACTCTAGGAAAAAAAAAATTAGTAAAAGATATAAATGATCTTTCCACTTCATATGATAATATTAAAGAGACAAACTCGTGGTGAGAGCACAATCAAAACACATCTCACCTAATGAGAAATGATAGTTTGGTAGAATCAAATAGTCACATGCATCAGGAAGGTGTGTCACACTCCTAGTGGTGGAGGGTTGTCACATGATGATTTACATGCGAGACGCAGTTGAACCACAATAATCGTAGGATATGTGGGAATAAAAGGCCTGTGGCATGCGACAAGATTTGTGCATAAAGAGAACAGCACTGAACTAGAATAGCTATATATATATATATATATATATATATATATATATA